TGACAATCACTTTGATCTTTTCTTTCTTGTCTTTTGCATGATCTTTTTCATTTTGTGTGTATAATGTCCTTCCATAGCTCATCAAGTCTTCTGTCATTAGTATTCAGCGCAGCAACTCTGTTCTTGAGCTGTTCTCCAAATTCAGGGGAGATGGACTCAAGGTAGTATTTTGACTCTAGTGGACTTTTGATTTTTTTTTTTTTTTTAGCTTTAACTTGAATTTAGTTCCTAGTCTGGTTTTAACTGTTGATATGGGTTTATCCATCCTCTCTCCCCACAGATGTAGTCTACTTGATTTCCGTGTATTCCATCTGGAGAACTCCATGTGTATAGACACCATTGGTGTTGTTGGAAAATAGGTATCTGCGATGAAGTAATTGGTCTTGGAAAATTCTAGCACACGATCCTCAGCTTAGTTTCTGTCACCACAGCCATGTACTCCAACTATGGTTCTTTCCTCTTTGTTTCCAACGTTTGCATTCTAATCGCTAATAATTCTAATGCATCTTGATTGCACATTTCATCAATTTCCAACTAAAGAAGCTAGTAGAATTCAATTTCATCATCACTAGCTTTAGTGGTTGGCACATACATTTGAATAATAGCTGTACTTATTGAATTCCTTGAAGGCAGATAGATTTAATCCTATCACAGACAGCATTTTGCCACAAGATAGATCGTGAAATGTCCTTTTTGAAAATGAATACATTATTCCTCTAGATTGTGTTATTTCTGGCATAGTAATCCATATGATTTTCTGATTTAAAATGACCAATACCAGTTCATGTTAGCTCACTAATGCCTAAGATATGAATCTTTATGCATTCCATTTCATCTTTGATGACTTCCAATTTTCCTAGATTCATACTTCAAACAGTCCAAGTTCTGACTATTAGTAGATTCTTGCAGCCGTTTTTTCTCATTTTGAGTTGTGCCCCACCAGCAAATGAAGCTCCTGAAGGATTTACTCCCCTGGGGTTTACTCCATTCTTGTTACCATGATCGACTCTGCTTTGAAAAAGCAGCTCCTCAATCATATGTCAAGTGCCTTCTGTCGTGGGCCAGTTTTCCAGCTCAATATCTGACAATGTTCTGCTTCCATTCAGACAGTATTGTACTTCCAGATTGATTGTGAAATGCCCTTTCTGGTCGTGAATGGAATGCCACTCCCCTGGATTGTGTCATTCCTACCATAGTAACTCAGATGAGTTGTCTCCTTCAAAATGGCCAATACCAGTCCATTTCAGCTCACTAATGCCATGGATATTGATATCCCTGTGTTCTACTTCATCTTTCATGACAACCAATTTTCCCAGAGTCCTACTTCACACATTCCAAGTTCCAATCATTAACAGATTTGTTTGCAGCTGTTTCTCCTTGCCTTAAGTCCTGTGACCCACCAGCAAATGAACATCCCAAAGGCTCCCCTCTCACAGGCTTTATCACACTCATGTCACCATGGTCAACTCCACTCCAAGAAAGGAGCTCCTCAGTCACATTTTGAGTGCATTCAGACCCAAGAGGCCCAGCATCCTCTGGAACAATATTCGACAATGTTCTGCTTCTGTTCATTAGGCCTTCAGTGTCTGGCAATGTCTCCAAGCTGTGCATATGGTTTACAGCAGCTATTTTCTTGGAAGTGGGCAATCAATTACTTCATCACTGTCTAATCTTAGCCTGCAATCTCTGATGAAACCTGTTCACTTTGAATGACCCTACTGGCACGTTAAATATCAATGACATAGAATCACAGTACATATCAGTAAGACATCAGCATCACAGCCACACACAAGCCACAAGGGCATGACAAATTGACAGACAAGTGGTGGAAAGTGAACCAGGGACATAAACTATAGGTATGTAAATGGATTGGGGGCTCAGACTTAATTTTATCCCCAATCTAAGAACAATTAGTTCTTATGACACGCCCCTACTCAATACTAGCCCTCATGAAAGATATGGGTGCCATAGTAAAGTGAGGTGAAGAAACCAGATGGTGCCTCCATATCAGAAAGAATAGTGTCTGGGGCCTTAAAGGCTTGTCTTCAAACAAGCAGCCATCAAAGTGAGGTGTCAACTAAGTCCACCTGGAAGAATCACACCAGACTGTGAGATGCAAGGATTGTAAATCATAAAATCCAAATCCGAAGGAGATAATGGTATCAGAGCTGAAATTCTGGAGACCAGGTTTGTAGAAAACTGCTGATGACAGTGGGAGCCCACTGTAGTAGTTACACAATTTCACGTCAATTTGATAAATAAGAATGAAGGGGTGGAGTCTAGCCTGTCAATCAGGTCACAGCCTTGTGGGTATGGCCTTCTCATGAGGATTCTGGGACCTTTCTGCTATACATTCCTGTCGACAAGCCAGAGAGAGCCACGCCGCTGACAGCCAGAGCGCTGGAGCTGGAGAAGCCACATAGAGACCCACACCAGCGCTGAGATGCTTCTACCACCACTGGAGCCACAAGACTTTCTACCCACTGGCCTGTAATCTTCCTGCATTCAGCATCATTGCATGTGTTGCGTGAGTCTGAGGAGGAATTTATGAACTGGTATCAGACACATGGGCTAATATCAGACTTCGTGGACTTGATCTGGACTGAGCTGGGATGTTTTCTTAATATACAATTACTCTTGGATATGAAACTCTGTCTTACACACATATGAGTGTCTCTGGATTTGTTTCTCTAGTCTATCCAGACTCACACACCCACTGTCAGGGTCCCTGCATGGTTTAAACCTTTGTTGAATACTCTCTGACCACAGTCCAGGGGTGTGAATAGCCTTGCTATCAGACAGAGAGCATTGTTTAAGTCCAATAATGCCAGATGTAGTTAGGTTAGATCATTTGATCTCTTTTTTGACTCATTTTAAAGTTGTTTACGTTTTAATATTTTCTGCTTTCAGTTGAGGTTTTCTGTCTTGTCATTGTTGGATTTTTTGCATGTGTGTATGTTTTGTATGATTGTCTGTACAGTGAACCCTCGTTTATCGCGGTTAATCGATTCTAGACCCTACCGTGATAAATGAAATTCCGCGAAGAACATTTGTTTTCAAATGTTTGTATTTATTTATTTGTAAATCAAATATTTTCGTAGTTAGAGCATAGAGGACATGAAAAAACACCCTTTAGTCACCATTACAATTGTATTACCCAATTTATTAAACGAAAAAGGGAAAATACAGTAAAACATTTTGGACGTTACAATTATCATTTATTATTTATTATATTATTTATGGCATCTAGTTTACAGTATTACATATTTCACATACAGTATTATTATACATAGTTCTTACAAATACTGTAATCAATAGCCTATGAAATGACTTAAGGGATGTACTCTACAGGTGGGTCGCCGTCTTTTTTCTCTGAAGGAGCGGGTGTAGGCAGTGGGTGCTGTTACGCAAAAACAGCGATAGAGTGAAACCGCAGAAGTTGAAGCGCGAAGTGGCGAGGGTTCACTGTATAGGAAATCCAGCATAGCTAAATCTATAGAGACAGTAGCCAGATTAGTAATTACCTAGGGGCATGGCAGGGGATGTTGTTTGGAAATGTTGTGGGGAGCTAATGAGTACTAGAAGTGTTCTGACGTTGTGGTGAATGACTGCACAAATCTTAATATGATTGATATGAGTTATATGTCAATAAAGCTATTTTAAAAACAATTTCCTATTAAGAATATTTAATATGTCTCACCCAAACCCCAAAAAACAAACTCACTGCCATCGAGTCAATGCTGATTTATTGTGACCCCGTTGTGGGTTTCCAAGACTGTAACTGTTTTCAGGAGTAGAAAGCCCAGTCAATATCTCAGTGAGCTGCAGGTGGTTTCGAACTGCCCACCACACAGATCGCAGCCCAACGTATAACCATTACTCCACCAGAGCTCCTAATCTGGATACTAGAAACTGGAAAATTAGATATATGTAGCTCGCACACCTTTTTCACTGTACAGTCCTGGCCAAGGCCGAAAGGGAGAACGGGCGGCTGGAAGCGAAGGTGGTATGGCGGTGGGGAGAATTTTCTGGCAGTACTTTGTGGCTCTAAGTCATGTCAGCGAATTTTCATCACCTCGATCCATGGGCGAGCAAACGCGAGTGGCAGAGCCCGGCCTCGAACCCACAGCTCGCCAGGAGCGTTCGCGAGCTCCCGTGTGCCGCAACGCGTTCGAGGAGGATCTGAAGCCTCCCGCCGGCCCTCGAAGCGGCGATGACGGAATCCGGTGCAAGGTGCAACCCGGAGGCCAGCCCAAGCGGTCCAAGGACCACACCGGGAGTCTGCCGGCCGCCGGACTTGAGGGCTGAGAGCTAGTCAGAGAAGTTCCTGGCGACGCGGCCCCTGTCCCTTCAGAACGACGCACCCACTCAGAACCCGACATCCTGTCCCAATCCGCGAATCCCCAACCGCGTTACCTCGCCTAGTCCCGCCCCGCGATGAACTCAGCCAATCGCTTATTGCTAAACCGACTTTATGCCTGCCCGCTCCCGCCTGCCAATCACTCTTGGCGCCGAGCACCACTCCACATACCTTCTTCAGCAAGCGCCGCGCGCCCCCGCTCGGCCGTTGGCAGCGCTGCCCTGGCTGGATGCTTGCCCCGGAAGGGCGGGGCAAAGCGCGCGCCACGCTAGTGCAGGAGCCCTGGGGATTGGCCAAGAGCTGTCCCGCGCTCTGTCCCCGCCCACTCCCGTCCTCCGCCTCCCAGTCGGAGACACAGGGGATTGGCTCCCTGGTGGGGAATGGGCGCCCAAGGAGATGGTCCCGCCTCCCTCGCGTTCGCCGGAGAGGGAGCTCTGCGGATTGGTTGGAGAGTCTCAGCCCGCGTCCACCGGAGCTCCGTGATTGGCTGGTGTCGGGCTCGCGTCTCCGGGGAGCGTTGGTGGTGATTGGCCGGAGAGCAGAGCGGCTATTTGAAGCCGGCGCGCGAAAAGGGTGCGCACTTCTGTCCGCGTAGAGAGGAGACGTGAGCAGTTCTGTGTAACGCTGCCCCCTCTGCCTCACCGGACGAAGAGCCTCGCTTGACCCAGTCTCGCCTCGGCCTTGGTACCAGCCCCGGCCCGGTGAGGCGATGGCCAAGGTGTCGGTGTTAAACGTGGCGGTGCTGGAGAACCCGAGCCCATTCCACAGCCCCTTCCGGTTCGAGATCAGCTTCGAATGCAATGAGGCCTTGGAGGACGGTGAGGATGGGCCTGGGTGGGGGTCCCTTCCCAAGGCCAACCCCGACTTACCCCGGAGACCCTCCCACAGCCAACCCAGACCTCCCTGCGGAGACATCCCCCGACTCCCACCCGCCCACCTGGTCAACTAATACTTCCCTAGGGCAATCGGCCCGCCCGCACCCCCACACCCCCACGCCAACCCTGACCCCGCTGAGGCTCCTCACACAGCCAACCCGGAACTCCCCGTGGAGAATCTGCCCCCCTGCCAACCCCGACCTTTACTTGTTCACCCCACCCCCGCCTCCCTGTGAGACATCTTTATTTGTTGGTGGCTGATACACCGCAAGCTGCGCGCTTTAAATCCTCCAGCTGCTGCGCGGGAGAAAGATGAGGCTTTCTGCTTCCAGAAAGATTTACACTAAATCTTACAGCCTCGGAGAGCCACCGGGGCAGTATCACTCTGCCTTAAAGGGTTAAGATGAGTCAGAATGGACGCAAAGCTGGGAGTGTTCGCCTGGGTGGGGGTGGGGTGGGGGCATCTCCTTGGAGCCATGCCTAGGGACCTTCTCAAACTTCATTTTCCCTCTGACAAGACACCTTACAAGGAACCCTCCATTTCTGCTTTCCCGACCCCACCCACACGCACCCCACTTCCAGCTACCCAGTGGGATGAGGCTGCCCACTCATCTCAACCTCTCCTGTGGACACATACTCAACTCCATTTTTCCCTGTAGAGACCCAAATTCCCTCTCATTTCCAGTGGAGACTCCCTCAAAGTCACTTTTACACACACACACTGTGCTGTGGCAAGATCTCACTCCATCTCCCCTAACACTCACCACCCAACCTGCTATTTAAGCATCTCCCCCCTCAAGTCCACCTTGCCCTTGCTCCGCACCCCAAACCAGGCACTGGAGACCCCGACTTTCCTCCTCTTCCTCGGTTTAACTCCCTAGACTTGAGCCACTGCCTGGAGAGGGATGGCCTAGCTTCTCCCTCCAAGAGGGTAGTTTGGTCTCCCTGGCTCCTCTTGTTCTCCACTTCCCAGCTTGAATGACTCTTGGCAGTTCTCAGGGTTTGCCACCCCCACCCCCAGGCCTTCATTGACTTCCTGCAGCAATTCCCGTGTTTTTGATAGTCTGGCCTAGTCTTGGGGGTGGGCTGGCCAAGCTGAGACAGCGCCTGGCTTCAGTCAGCGGGGAGGTCATAGCCTTTGGTGCATCCTTCCCAAGTTGCTTCCATGGCTGTACTTAGAAGTTGGTGCAACATAAAGGTGGACACCTCTTTTCATCTCAGATGAGAACGAAGAGGTCTCTCAAAATCTGAAACCAAATGGCTAAGGTCACCCAGGGAGTTTCCGCGCAGCTAAGAGCCTGAGCAGCCCCAATTTGGAAAGGCAGTACTCTGCTGGGCGGTCTTTCCACCAGACACTTAATGGAGAAGTGGCAGCAGCTGTGGAGGGGAGGCCCCGGGCCACTAACTAGCACCTCCCTGTGGCAGCTGTGTGGTTGCTCGCAGAGCCTGCTGTGGGGATTAGCTGGTGGCTGACACCCTTTGAACCATGTGCTGCCCGCTGAGTCGCCCCCTGGTGTCTCACAGGCCTTTTTTAAAACAAGGGTGTCTATCTGTGGCTGGCTAGTGAGTAAGCTAGGCTAAACCCTTGCTGGAACAAGGCTGGGTGTAAAGAAATAAGTTTAGAGTAAAACTTCAGGATAAGTGGCCAGGAGGGGTTGTAAGAAGCTAATAGGTTAAGGGGTTCACAGGTCCCAGATGGCAGATTGGGTTTCCATCAGCCAATGTGTGCTCCTGGAATTAGAAAATGACTGTGGGGCCGGTTCTTTGTTCATTTAGTTAGTTTTTATTCATAGGGAGCCCTCGCCCTGTGATTTCAGTTCTCTTATTTCTAGCCTCAGGGACGAGAGAGGAAAGTCAACCTGTTGGATTTTCTTTTCCAATCAAGGGGCTTAGGATGTCGTCTCCCAAGGTCACAGACAAGAGCTTGTCAGTGTTTTGAGTGCTACTGCTAAGTCCCCGCTCGCATCCTGGGGGTGAAAGCAAGCATTCCCTACTTCAGCAGGGGAGGAGAATCCAAAGAGCCACACCTGTGGTGTCCCAATTGGAAGCTTTTTAACACAAAAACTGCTATCAAGTCGATTCTGATTCATTGTGACCCTGTAGGACAGAGAACTACCTCTGGATTTCCAAGGCTGCAACTCCGCCCTGTCTTTCTCTCCAGGAACAGCTGGTGGTTGTGAACTGCTAGCCTCAAAGTTAGCAGCCCAAAACATAACAACTATGTGACCAGGACTCTATAAAGGAAATAAGGGGGTGCTAGTCTTCATTCAGTCAAGACAGGAGAGCTTTTACCCTGAGACATTTAAGCTGTGGTTCAAACCCAGTCCTGCTAACCCAGAAGCTTTGGTTCTGTACTCTAACCTGCCAGTTTGCTTTCTGCCTCTTCCTGGCCTTCTTCCCACAAAAGCAGAGGGAGTCTGGTTCCTGCCTTCCAAACGGGGCGGGCCTACCCCAGGAGCCTCTCCAGTCTGTCCTGGAGGGATCTCAGTCCTTGCTGCCAACTGAAATCTGACAAGCCACCCAACCCACCCCCACTCCCCACGGATCCCAAGCACCTTTGGCTCTCTTTTCTCCACAACAGCTGGAAATAGATGCCACCAAGACCGAAGTCCCCTTACTGTGTTTGGCGTGCTTTTCCAACTGACACTGGTCAACTCGGTCCGTGGAGTCTAGTGTTCCAAGCCAGAGCTCAGGCTTTGGTGAGGCCACCGTGATCTGAGCAATCACAAAGGCAAGGCGATGCTGCAGAAAGAGGCATACTAAGTATGTTAGCGAAAACCCAAACAGGAAGCCCTCCCTAGGTAGTTCAAGGACGAGGATTTGTTCAAATGTGCCCTTAATCTACTGATGGGGCTTCATTTCCCTCCACAGTAGAGGGGCGTATTGTGTGGGAGATAGTGATGTCGAGGCCTAAAGACGGAGCCTGATGTACTCATATCCCCCTGGAAGTTGCCCATAAGGCCAAATGTAGCACATTGGCATCTGTGTGGTTGGGTGGTTGTGTCCCGGTCTCAGTCAGTGTGAGTGCTGGTTCGTTTGTTGTCCTCTGTCCAAAGAAAGGGTATTGGGGGGGGGGACGGGGACTTAAGGGTGTCTGCTTTACACCCTGCAGCAAACATAAGGAGATCCCCCTTATCCCCCTTCTGTAGCCCATGTCATCAGCACTTCCTCTTGAGTGACACTTTCTCTATGATCCTAGATTACTTCTCCGCTTTCTTCCTGGCCCAGGCTGAAGCACAGCCTGCTCACGGTTTCTCTTGTGGTCAGCATCCACACAATCTTTGGTCAGGTCTTCCCGGCAGGCACTGAAGGTGCCAAGTGCCCGCCATGCGTGCAGCAGCCCGCTGTGTTTCCATCTCGTCTCCCACGGCCCTTGAGTGAATGCAGGCACAGGCCCTCACTGGTAATGAGGGAAAGGAGCAGAAGAGAATCCATGTTATGGGAGAAAAGTGAAATCAGCTAGTTTGTCTTTCTGCCCTCCCCTAAGTATAGTTCTAGTTATGTCCCTTCTTAGAACGCAAACAAGTCAATAATAAGACAACTCTGGAAACTTGAGTGACTTGGTGGCTCTGTTGGATAAGCATTGGACTGCTCACCACAACTTAAGCTGTTCAAATCCTCCAGCCACTTCTCCAGAGAAACATGAGGTTATCTGCTCCCATAAACCGTTTACAGCCTTGGAAACCCTGTATAGCAGGAGTAAGGGGTTTCCAGCTTGCGGACCACATAAGGCCCCCCAAATCACCAAGACCAGCTAGCATCACACACCTCACCAAAGAAACCGCTCCAGCCATCATATTGTTGTGAGGTGCCATCGAGTCAGTTCCGACCCATTGCAACTGCACAGTAGAACAAGGTACTCCCGGTCCTTGCTCCAGCCTTGCCATCCTATGCTTGAGCCTGTTGCTGAAGCCACTTCGTCCGTCCGTCCACCTCCTTGAGGGCCTTCTCTCTCGCTGCCCCTCTACCAAACCTGATGTCCTGCTCCAGGGTCTGGTCTCTCCTGACAGCATGTCCAAGGTTTGTAAGACGCAGCCTTGCCATCCTTGCCTCTAAAGAGCACTCTGGCTGTATTTCTTCTAAGACGGGGGTCCTCAAACTTTTAAAATGGGCCCAGTTCACTGTCCCTCAGACCCGTTGGAGGGCCGGACTATGAATAAATTCCTATGCACACTGCACATATCTTATTTTGAAGTAAAAAAAGAAACGGGGCAAAAACCCCAGATAAATGTTTTTAGCAGGCTGCATGTGGCCCGCGGCCCATTGTTTGAGTCCGCCTTTTCTAAGACATCAGTTTGTCCTCTTACCAGTCCATGGTATTTTAAATATTCTCCAGCATCACAATTAAAATGTAGTAGAGGTGAGCTAATTAAATGTTTAACTACATTTGTTGTTGCTGTTAGATGCCCTCGAGTCTGTTCCAACTCATAGTGACCCTATCTATGTACACCCTATCCATGTACATCCTCAAAAATGTGGGGGCCACTGTATCCATCTTGTGGAGGGCCATGCTCTTTGTGCTGCCCCCCTCTATCAAGCATGATGTCCTCCAGAAACATTCGTCCTTGCCTCTAAGGCGCATTCTGGCTGTGCTGATTCTAAAACCGGTTTGTTTTTCTCGTGGCCGTCCACGGTACTCTCACTGTTCTTCCCCAGCACCATAGTTCAAATGCATCCATCTTCTGCGTCCCTTAGTCAATGTTCAATGTTCACATGCAATGCATAGGTGCAATTGAAAATAACATGGCTTGGGTCAGGCACCCCATAGTCCTCACAGTAACCTCCTAACTTTCCAGGACTTTAAAGAGGCAGTGCGTTTGGTCCTCATGCAGTACACCGCTGGAGCTCCTGACTGCTGCTGCCGGGAGCTGCAGCCTGGTGGCGGAGTAGTTCTGCGTTGGGCTGCTGACCACGGATTCAGTAGTTTGAAACCACCAGCCACTCCTCCCAAGAAAGAGCCTTTTTTTTTTAACCGTTTTATTGGCACTTCGTCCATATATCATACAATTCAGTAGTTCAACCATATCCAGAAGAGTTGTACCATCTTTACCGCAGGTTTTGTTTTGTTTAGTGAGTTTAGTTTTGGTTTGGACGTTATAAATCGCAATCTTAGAATGTTGTCATTTTCCCCACACTCCGAAGACTGGGCTTTCTAGACCCGTAAAGAGTTACAGTCTTGGAAACTCACGGGCAAGGTCTACCTTGCCCTACAGGGCCTACTACTGAGTTGTCATCCAACTTGATGGCAGCAAGTTAGGTTCTTGTGGGGGTGGGGGGAGGGCCGGGGCGGCACTGAATGATGTTATAAGGAACCCTGGTGGTGTAGTGGTTACATTGGGCTACAGTTCATTTGGTCAGCAGTCGGAGACTGCCAGCAAGCAGCTCCTTGGGAGAAAGACGGGGCTCCTACTCCTGTAAACTGTCTCAAACCCACAGCCAGTTGCCGTGAGTCAGCGTTAACTCGATGGCAAAGAGTTTGATCTGGTTGGTTCTACTCTGTCCTATACGGTCACTATGAGTAGGTGTCAACTGGGTTTGGACAATATAAATGCCCAATGACTCTTGACCCAGAAAAGGTTCTCTGTCCCTGCTCTATAGGGTCACCGTGTCGAAATCAACGCATTGGGAGTTGTGTGTGAGAGAGAGAGGGAGAGATCTGAGGGTTTGTTTTTTTAATATTAAAATCCCCATGAAAGTTACACTCTTTTGAGCCAGGGGATCTCCCGTGCCCCAAAAGCCGATGTGGGTGCCTGCATAGAGGGCTTGGGTGGGACTGTGCAGGGACAGGAAGCAGTGGCCCAGGAAAAGACTCAGGTGGCCCTGCATGGCTCCCACTGGGATGCTCCTGTAGGAGGCTTGACCAGGGAACAGGGCAGCTTCCAAGAGGATCTCTTCCTGTGAAAATCACAGCTTGTGAAACTCGCAGCTGCTGGAGCCGTCGGTTGTGCAATTTCAAAGAACCTAAAATAAGTTTGCGGGCTCCTGCCAGGCGTCCCTGCACTAGCGTGACCTTGCCCCTGGTACACTTGGACTCCTGCTAGAGGAAGTGGTCAGCGGGACCATCCGCTGTGATTGATGGGCAAGGCTTCTTACTGGACAGACTCGGGGATGGGGTCCTGCTGCCGCACGGGTTGGGTTCCGAATGGTCACCCCGAATTGTGCTATGTTGCTTGACCGTGGCACCCTTATGTGAACGCCCTGAGGAAGTGCGGCTCGGGGGTCAGGCGGCTCTCCCAGTGGCCGTGTCTTCCCCCTCCTGCCGCTGGCTCTCCTGCTGGATTGGAATCTGCCGCCCTGCCCCAGTTGTCGAGGGATCTACTCAGTTTGGTGGCATCGGTCCCTGTGTGTGAAAGAGGATGCTACTTCCTGTTCCAGCACCCAGTAGGCAGAGCCCAGGAGTGGCCCAGCTCCTGCTTGCACGCATCAGTCATAATCACGTGGGGCTTGATTCAGCGCCTGCCATACGGTTTGCCCTCGGACTCCCAGAGGCCAGTGTTTCTGCTAGGTGCAGAGTCAAGGTCACCTGGCAAAGGGAGGCCCGAGTTAAGATCACGTGGCGGAGAGGCAGACCGGCCACCTGCGTTCAGGACTGCAGGGCCAGCCACTGGGTGCTCAGGGTGGCAGCTGTTGGGCAGAATGTTTGTTAATAGATTTGAGGACCTGTCCAAAATTAACACGAGGAGACCCATCCCCTGTCTTCTGCTGTCATTCTTTCCATTCCTTAAACACCACCCCCCCAACCCCATGTCTTTGCAGACCTGGAGTGGAAGATCATCTACGTGGGCTCCGCCGAGAGTGAGGAGTTTGATCAAGTCCTAGACTCAGTGCTGGTTGGCCCTGTCCCAGCAGGGAGGCACATGTTTGTTTTTCAGGTAAGAGACCAGAGCATGAGGCTGGTGGTACACAGCCCAGCAGGGCACATCCCACCCCCCTCACTTTCTCTGCAGCACAAGGCGTGGTCCAGCGACCAAAAGGTCTGGGTCAAATCTTGGCTGTCCCTTTTGAAGCGGAAGAAAGGTGCCCTGGCCTGTAAACTGCCTGCTTGACAACCGCTGCGTTGAGAGGGCTCAAGGACATCACACTGGCTCTCTCCTTGTCCAGTGTGTGTCCTGGAGCTGTCCAGTTAACTCCCAGGTAGCTCTGGGCGAGAATCCCTGGATGGGGTTGTTGGAAATACAGGTCTCACACTCCCCAGATGGGCTGTTGCACACTCGGAGGTTGAGAGCAGCTTCGATCAGTCACTTAAACTGTCGTCTGTTAGGCACCCCCAGTCCCCTGGCAAATTCTCTCGCGCTCTGTGGCCTGAGCCAGGGCTTCAGGCTTGGCAATGCTTTGCTGTTAAATTACAAAAGAGATATTTTTACAGACAAGATTTCTTTCCCCATGAACTTTTTAAAAACCCCTCGTTAATCATCTTCATTATCTAACGCTGCTCTAGCAGAAATGCTGCTGGCAAGTGGCTTTAACAAATTTGTTTTCTCACCATTTAGGAGGCTAGAGGTGGTTCAAACCTACCAGCTCTGGTCCAAGTGAGGAAGAGGAGGCTTTCTGCTCCCGTCAAGACTTGTCACCTCGGGCAGGGTTCTACTCCACCCCCTTGGAGCACTGTGGGTTGCACTTGACTCGGTGGCAGTGCGTTGGCTTGGGGGTTTTAAGGAGGCTCGAAGTCCAAATGCAGGCTCTCCGTGGACTCCAAAGGAAGGTCCTTGACCCTTTCTGAGGTTTGGCTCTGGGCAGTCTTCATGTGGCTTGCCATCTTTCTTCGCTCGGGGCTTGCTAGCTGGCATTTCATCTCCTTCGTTGACTGGCCCGCGGAGCACCTGACACTTATTGGGTCGCATTTATGTAACAAAGTAAACCCATTCCCAAATGCGATTATGACACCAAGGCATAGAGGTTATGAATGACAATACTCTTCTTGTTGGGCGGGGGTGGGGGCAGTGGGGAACGACACAATTTACTCCAGAGCTGTATCTTGTTCTGAAGAATATACACAGCACAACATAACTCCCCCACCCCTACACGTCTGTGTCCCTGGTGCTGACTACATTCTTAAATTGTGCAACCCTTGTCCCCTCCTCTACTGAGTGTTCCTCCCCGTGATCATAAACTCACTGCCCCCCCTTTCATATCTAATCGTTACAGAGGATTACTAGTTTGATCCTGAAGAGATCTTTAGAAAGCATTATGCTCAAGATAAGCATTCTTTCCTCCTCCATACTCTGTCGTTTGGTTTTAAGAAACATGGGCTATTGGTTTATAGGTTCAAGGTCACCTCTAGGCAGTCATTGAGAGGTGGTCTGGAGCCACTCACTTAGGTACCAAGGAGCCCTAGTTTGCAATGGGCCCCTCAGAGGCTGTAGCCGATCTGTTCAAAAGGACACTTCTTGGAATCTGCTGTGGGCTCCCCGGCCAGTCCAGAGCCGTCGCTGCAGACTACAGGGCTGGCATGGCTAGACATCTAGCACCTCTTGACTTCTTAACCGGCTCAGCTTCCCCTTGCTCACTGCCCTCCAGCACCACACCAAGCAGTTTTCTGGCACCTCAGAACACATGTCCTACTCAAAATTGTAAACACGTTTGTGTGGTTGAGTCTGTTCCCATCATGACATTGTAAGGCTTTGAGGGCAGAGCCTGGACTCTTGAGTCGGTGGGTCACTATACAATGCTGTGTGTTTCCCTTAGGCTGATGCTCCCAACCCGTCCCTCATCCCAGAGACTGATGCTGTGGGTGTGACTGTGGTCCTCATCACCTGCACCTACCACGGACAGGAGTTCATCCGAGTGGGCTACTACGTGAACAACGAGTACCCTAGCCCCGAGCTACGTGAGAACCCACCCCAAAAGCCAGACTTCTCTCAGGTAGGACCTGTCTACCTCTGCAGCAGCCAGGCAGCCCCTTTGTGGGTGGGGGGGAGTGGGGGGTGGGGAGTTTGAGTCATTAGAACAGAGCCATGGGGCAGTGCTTAACTTTTCCGTTTCCCCAGGGCCTGGCCAGGAAAGAGAGGGTCATTGCCTCACCATGTAAGCAATGAAAGGTGGTTGTCCCATGTAGAGGCACGACCCTGGCCCTTGGAGTCCTGGGCATGGGGGAGTTACGAGGGGCCCCAGAAAAAGCGTCCTCTTCCTGCCCTAGCTCCAGCGTAATATCTTGGCATCCAACCCTCGAGTGACCCGCTTCCACATCAACTGGGACAACAGTGCTGATGATCAGCTGGAGGCTATGGACAGCCAAGACCTTTCCCTGAGTGGGGGCCTCCCCTTTGGCTGCACACCTCTCAAGGGTCTGGGCCTCCCGGGCTGCATCCCCAGCCTTCTCCCCGAGAACTCTATGGACTGCATCTAACGGAGCTCAAGCCCTGTGGGAGCTCTGCTAGCAGAGACAGTCTCCGCCTGGCACATCTGGAGCGAGCACGTGGGCCATCTGGGGGACTTTGGGGCTGTCACCTACACCGAACCAGTCAGATTTGGGCCCGTGGAAAGGACAGACCCCATCTTGCCCAGCCCTGGCCCAGGAGGTGCATCTCAAATCTCCACGACCTGTAAGAAGTAGGTCCTCAGTTCTTTCTAACATGCCCTTTCTCCCTCCCTTCTACCTGCACCGTAAACTCCCCTGGAGGCCATGGTGCTCCCTGAGTGTTACTGACCCGAAGCTGCTCCCTCCAGCCCTCCCCTGCCAATGGCTGGCGAGGCTCTAGCCCTGTCACTCCTTTCCAAACATCTGGAGGGAGCCACAGGCAAAGAATCCTAGTCAGTACGTACACTCGGATACAGTGTCCTCCCAGGAGGATTTTGAGCTCTTTTCAACCCAGTAGCCCCTGAAAAATGCTGCCCCCAGAGGTGTGACTAGCAGGTGTCACTCAGTCACCCCAGCTGGGCCTACCCTTCCCTAGTGTTCAGTGGTAGAGGCTTGGTATGTTGGGGAGGGTCTACTGTCCTCTGGCTATCAAGGGGGTCGGCACCAAGGCCCTTCCACCCATGGCAGCCTTGCTCTGCCCGCTTGTCAAGACCACGTGTGCTCAAGGGCCGGCCACAGCATGGGCACAGGAAGCTGGAAGTTGCCGGGAGCCTGAAAACCTTCCCTCCCACCTCCTTGCTGCTATGTGAATGCTGTTGTGATTGCAATTTGTATATTATAGGGGTTTTATATTAAACATGTTTGGTTGCTGTAAAAAATAAAAGCACTTCATTGAGATTGATGGTTTCTGTTTGTGTCTCAGGTGGGTAGAGGCGACTCAGCCCTCTTCCTGTGGGAGTGGCCTCTCCCCCTGTTTAGGGCACTAGCTCCCCCTCGGCCCCTTCCTTGACGTCTTCCAGTTCCAGCTGGCTCTACCATTTTATTTATGGGGAGAGTGTTTTCTTTGTCACATCTGGAGTTTAGTATGTCAACATTCAGACTTGGACTATGGCTGACAAGGAGAAAGGAACTTTTTTGTTGTTTTGAGAAAGAGCTTTTACATATCCATGTACACACAAAAACCCACGTGCACTGAAGATTATGGAAGTCCACAGACTGAGGTGGGGAGCCGTTTCCCTAGATTGCCCGGAGAGACCCAGACTCCCTCTCCTGAGTGGTGGTCACTCTGGGATCTGGTGCAGGCAGTTAATGCAAGGCCTTGACCAAGAATTGGCTTGTAGGCAGGATGGGGCTCACCCCAGCTGGCTGAGCCAGTCCCCTGTCCCTCTGGGCATCTCCTGTTGGAGCCTTCCTCTGCTTCAGGGGCTTTCAATCCAGACAACTTGGCTATGTGTGGAGACGGCTATAGGTAGTGGGAGCATGAGGTGGGGTAGTGTCTGCTACTGGCATCTAGTGGGTGGAAGCCAGAGATGCTGCTCAAGCCCAGTGCACAAGATAGCCCAGTGCAAAGCATTATCCTGGCCCAGCTGGGCTTTCTCAGGCCACATGTGCCATGCATCAAAAAGGAATCCCGAAGAAGCACGGCTTGACCCGGCTGCCCTCCCAGAAGTCAGGTTCTTGGAAGCATTCTCCAGATAGGAACAAAAAGGGTGGTTAGAGCAGGAGGCCAGGCAGCCCCCCGCCCCCCATTCCTCATCAGTAAAATGAAGGTGCTTATACATGAGTGTTGTGGGAAGGAAAACCAAGTGAACCAGTGCCGACTCTACTGGCACGAGCCCACTCTGCTGGGCGCCCAGTGCCATCCATTGCTTCAGCATCCCTCTAAAGCTCTGGTTACAACTGTTGGCGACCCTGAGGCGCCGGCTGCTGGAGTCCAGCGCCAGGCCTTATGAATGACGAGGCCGACGGTCCGGCGACCTCTGACCTGCAGCGCTGGCCGCACCCCTCCCCCGCTGGCAGGTGGACAGCGGCTGCGCCGGCTGGCCCGCGACGCCAACCTTTGGCTGGCCCGCGGCCGCTGCCGCACTGGGCGGGGGCGGGGGACTGCGGCGCGCACGGGGCCGGCCGGTGCCGCCGGGCTGCCTCCTGGGCCTGGGAGCGCGGCGCGGCCGCTGGCCAAGCTCAGCCGCCCCGCCTGCTGCCGAGGCCTGGGCAGCAGACTGCGCCTCCGCCCCGCCCTCTCACCCCGGGATTGACACTGGACGTTTTGCGGGGGTCCTGCCGGATTGCGCGCCTTGGCCAATCGGCGGCGGCCTCAGGCGGGCCCCAGGCCTGGTCGTGAACCTCGGCCAATCAGATTCGTCCGCCCGCCCAGCTGGGGCTTCACGAGCACGCGAGTGGCCGGGCGTCCACGGAGCGCGTCACGGGGCCGAGAGCCTATGGCGGGGCGGGAAGGTCATGGTGGGCCAATGAGTAGCTGCGCGGCGCTGTCAGTTAAGATGGCGCTGGCCAATGGGTGGCAGGCTGCGGGGGCGTCACAGACAGCAGCAGCAGCGGACTTAGGCTGAGGTTCCCGGGCGGGCGGCGCGGAGAGACGCGGGAAGCAGGGGCTGGGCGGGGGTCGCGGCGCCGCAGCTAGTGCAACCAGCTCGGGGGGCCGCCGCCGCTGCTCCCAGCGCACTCCTGGGCCGCCGGCCGCCGCCTGCACCCGCCGCGCCGCAGCTCCGGGACCGGCCCGGGCCGCCGCCGACGCGATGGGCAACACCGCCGCCGCCAAGAAGGGCAGCGAGCAGGAGAGTGGTGAGTGCCCGGGCTGTGACCCTGATCCTGGCCCTGCTCTGCCAGCCCCTCCTTGTCCATCACTGCACGGCCCCTCCCCCACGTCCCCCCTTCCCTGCTTACCCTCAGCGCCCCTAGGCTGGAGCCCAAAGGCCTGCAGAAGGTCCCCCCATACGGGCACCCCTGCCAAAGGCCGCCCCCAATGCAAAAGCGGTACCTTCCCCTTCCCCCAGCTGTCACTACCCACCATGGCATGTTTGACCGCTGGGGCCCCAGTAAGGAGGTCTTGTCACCTCCCCTTCCTTTCCCGGGCCCCTCTCCCCAAATTCTGGTCTCCCCACTTGTGCACTCACTCCTCATACAGAAGGGACCCGCTGCCTGGCCCACACCCAGGGTTCTGGGAGTCTGGGGAGGGGGGCGGAGGTCTGCCTCCACCATGGAGGGACCTTGGCCACTTGGTGACCACACCCCTCCCCCCTCTCTAGCCCCCGCCATCTTACTCCTGCCTTTTCCCTCTTCACTCTGCCCGACCCTCATGCCACCCCTGTGCATGTCCCCCAAAACCACCCCCAGCCTTGTTTTTCCGTTCTGTGGCACTTGGCGTGAGGACAGGATCTTTCTGGGTACCTCTGTCGCTCTGTGGCCCCTGCTCCCTCCTTTGAGCAAGTGTGTGTTCCTAGCTGAGACTGCAAACTGTTTATGAAGCTAGGGGACAGCCTCCGTGTGTCCAAAGCCAAATTTGAGCCACACTCTTCAAGGGATTCATTGCGTCCTCTTTTCCAGGGGGCGAGGGGCAGCGTTGGAGCACCTCTCTGCCCCTGCTGGGCAGCCGAGCTCCAGGCTCCTGGGGGGCTCAATAAATGGTTGTTTCACAACTAAGGCTCCGTCATTCACCAGGTCCCCAGGGTGCTTCACCAGCTCCTGGCGCTGGATGGAAAGTTGTTGGGGGTGGGGGGCATGGGGGCCAGTGAAAAGTGACTGAGTTTAGCCAGGACTCTTGCGGCTTGAGTTGGGATGGTGAGAAAGGGAAAGGGGGTGCCGGGGTGCCGTTGGGGAAGAGTAGTAGATGACACCTAGTGACTTGCTTTGCTAACCCATAGGCAAGCTCCCGCCAGAGAGGCCGGTTCCTTTCCCTGGAATCGCACTGGCCTCTGCAGGGCAGAGAGAAAGGTTGTCCTTCGGGACTGCTTTCCAGAAAGGTCTCAACCCCATCCCCAGTTCTCAGCTCCTCAATTGACCCTCCAAGCCGAAAGCTAGAGTCCACTTGAGAGCCGCCTCAAGTAACCCAGACTTAGAGCCCAGCGAGGGGCCATGTCCAGCCACGCCTTCCCTAGTGCCCAGGCTCAGACACTAGCCTGCGTCCTCTGACTCCAACCCCACCCCCCTGAAAGACCTGGGCCTGCAAGGTAGGGAACTGTATGCCCACACGGATTCAAAAGTAGACTTCTTGAGCCAGGAGGCCGCGGGAGGCCTGGCATGTCTCCGATGGGCGGGAGACAGGAAGGCAAGTGCCTGTAGATGAGCGCTTGATGACAGAGGAGCAGGTGGGTAGTGTCCAAAAAAGGCCTGGGCATGAGCAGGGAGGGGACTGGGGGGAGGGCAAGGGGCTGGAGCCACCCCCTAGCAGGTGAGGCTGCTGGGAGGTGGCAGGTGGAGGCTAGCAAGCTATATATCCCAGTGGCTGGGTTAAAAGTTGGGAAGATGACATCGTCCTGGAAACCCTTCAGGGCGTACCAAGCACGTGCAGTGGGGGCAGGGGCCAGGTGGAGAGTGGCTCAGGGAAAAGGATCCCCAAAAGGCTCCGGAAGGAACCGCTAATACTCCTAGAGCACAGGCCAGAAGACACCCAAGAATGGACTGTCCCTCTGAAGTAGAGCCACTGGGGGCTGGGCATCTAGTGAGTGAGCCCTAGGCTAACCGGGTCTCCATAGATGGGCTCTAGTGATAGTGGAAACTGGTGCTTGCTTCGGCGGCACATACACTAAAATTGGAACGGTAGTCGAAACTGGCTGTTACGAATAAGAATTTTGAATTTTCCCCACTTCACACCAATGACGCCACCTGTACAGGATTCACATCCAAATCTGCATGGACCCCATAAATGCCCTCCTCAAGCTGTTCTAGTCCCTGCTTACTGGCACCGAGCCGATTTGGACAGAGTGGAACCGCCCCTTTTGAGTTTCCAAGGCTGTCAATCTTTACAGGAGCAGAACTGGGACTTCTTTTTCTTCCTGCTGCGAAGTTGAAGGGTTCCAACTGCTGGCCTCGGGGTTACGTAACCCATGCTGCCACCAGGTCCCCTCTAGGCACTTCTACTTTCTAAATGTAAATTAACAAAAAGAGGACTCACTTTTGTCTGCTGGAAATCTTGATCCCCAATCATGCAGTTGGAGGGTTCGAACTGCTGGCCTCGGGTTACGTAATCCATGCCGCCACCAGGTCCCTTCTAGGTACTTCTACTTTCTAAATGTAAAATAACAAAAAGAGGACTCACTTTTGTTCTGCTGGAAACCTTGACCGCCCAATCCCCACCCACCCACCCACCTCGAGCGCTGAGCAAGTCATGACCTTGCTGGGTCAGTTGTATTTTCTCTGATAAAATCTCATAGGTAGCTCCAGCACCGCCACCTAGTCGATGCTGACTCATAGTAACCCCCTGTGGGTTTCCGAGACTGTAACTGTAGACGGAAGTAGAAAGCCCAGTCTTTCTCCCGTGAAGCTGCTGCTGCTGCTGGTTTTGAACTGCTAACCTTTCGGATTATAGCCCAAAGCTAACCACTACACCACTATGGCTCCTCTTAAGTTGTAGCTAGTAAAATCGTGCAGACTCCTTTAAAATGTTTTCAGCTTGGGGAGAGGATGGGGAGGGGGGGAGTCCCACATAAGTGTCGCATTTTAGAAAGCCGTACTTCGTACTTCTTCCCCAAGCCAGGAGGGGCTCCCAGAGAAGGAACCAGAAGGAGGAAAGGGACACCCCCTCACCCCCACACACACACACCACCCACCCCCCCACCCCCCCCCACCTTTGCTTAGAAACTCTTGAAGTGAAGAGATGGAGCTAGACGAAATCTGCCCTCATCTGACCAGGGCGGGGCCAGGGCAGTAGCCAGGCCAGCCTGCAGGGGGCACCTGAATTTCATCTGCCACTCACGGGCCCACTAGGGTAAGGAAAATGCCTGAGCCTCACTAGCTCTCAGTTAAGCATCCTTAGTGCCCACCCCCTCTCCGTGCCAGGACAGGGCAGGTTCCTCATCCCATGAAGGAGCATCACTCTGCCCAAAGATGCTAATCCTCTGTAAGGGTCCAGACAGGCATAGGAAACAGACCGAAGGCCCAGCTTGTGGCCAGGCTTGGAGAAACAAATAGCGTGGCACCCAGGAGGCCCCAAGGACAACAGCCAGGTGGGGTTCGCCTTAAGGTTGCCACTGGCTGAGCCCCCCACCTCACCCCCCAGCCGACCATGGGGGGAAAGGGAAAGCTAGGGAGGGAAAGCTCCCCAGACATACCCCAAATTCCAGCGATAAGCCAGGACCGAAAGTAAGGAAAGGGCATCTGGACCCAAGAAGTGGCTGGATGGGAAGAACTCTCAGGTTCTAACAGCCTACAGAAGCCCAAGAGGGCCAAACACCCGTGCATTGGCAGTTGTATGGGTGCCCAAGAGGGTCCTGCCAAAGCAGTTTTTCCCTTTGCCTAATCCAGGCTGCAGTAACCCTGAGGGACCTACCTACCTGTCCCCTGCCCTCACTGGCCTCCATGTAGTGGTTGTTGGTTTTTCTTTTACCCCCAAATCCCCACTCCACAACTCCCTGGCTCCCTTTATAGGCAGGGCTCTGGGGGCGCTTGGCCAACCTAAGGCAGCAGGTCTCATGAGCCTTCCCAGCCACCGTAGTCCCGATGCCCTAAGCGAAGACTGAGTGATGGCTTCCAACCCCACGGATGGTGAGACTGAGCCCTGTTACTATAGCGACTTCCCCAGACACTCCCTGCCCCCCCCCCACCCCAAGCCAGAGGGGGTCAGTAGTAAGATTCGGGGAGCAGGGAGAGAGGAGTCCCAGCCTCACCCTGGAGGCTCTCCTCATAGGAGCAGCTCTGTGCTGTGGGGTCTGGGGAGAGCAGGGCAGGGTGTGGGAGGCCAGTTCAGACAAGAGAGGGTGCCCACCCCCAAGCCCGGGAGTAGGAATGCATCTCAGACTTGAGGGCGGTCTAACCCAAAGTTAAGAGTTCAACTCAGATTGGGGAGGTAGTCCAGCCAGTGTTGGGGTTCAGCTCAGACCAAGGAGTAAGTAGTAGTTCGGCCAAAGATGGGGTCCATCTCAGAAGGGAGCTGGGCCAGCCATTGTTGGGATGATTCAACCCAGAGGCAGGCTCAGCCCTGGCTAGACTGAAGACTAACCAGCCTTCACTGGGCTCCCAGGCTGGGCCTCCGTGCCCTGGAATTCCCAGGACAGCCAGCGTGCAGAGGGTCCACCCAAGACTTGTTGCAGGAGGGATGGGGTGCGGGTGGGGGTGGGTGAGGCTGGCCTCTTCCCTGCGCTTATTGGTCGTTCTGCTGCTGCAACTCCCCACTCCCAGGGGAATCCTGAGATCCCTGCCTCCCGCTGGACCCTGGCTTTTTTTTTTTTTAGGGATGTTTGGGGTTTTCTCTGTGAGACCAAATGGATTCGAGATCAGGATGAAGGGTGGGCGCGTGGCAGCCAGCTCTCCCGGCAGTGCCCAGCTAGCTGGGTTTCCTGCTCTGCCACTTCCTGTTGCAGGCGGGGACCATGGGGAACAGACACTCTTGGAGAGGTTGCCACTGGCCCCTCGGCTTCTTTGGGGATCTGGAAAGGAGCAGGAGGATGGTCAAGGTTGCCTTTCCCCACCTCCTCCCTGGGCTTAGCCTTTTGCTTCCGGTTTGGACTTTCAAGGCTGAGAGCCGAGCCAGGCTCAGGATAGGGTTTGATAGAGGCCAAGGACATCCCAGAATGCCTCGCCGCCCCCACAGAGGATGAAGATGGAGAGCCAGATGTACCCATTTCTCTCTCGGGGTAGTATGATTTGGGAGCTCAGGGGAAGAGATGAATGGGGTTGGTGCTTTCTGCGCCCCCCCCCCAGCCCC